GAGCACCACGATGCAATTCACTCTACCATAAATTTGGAAACAGCACGATGTACTGCTTGCCATTCATGTCAGAAGCTCCAATATGATCTTTTTGGAGTGTTTGGGTATCAATCTGAAGACAGTCCAGAGGATTCAGCAAGATTTGGAGGAGTCTAATGGTGATTACAAAGGTACAGTAGTTCGGAAAAATTACTCTGATCATTCTGATAAGAAAAGAATTCCCAAATTTGTTAGTGAGATCCTCAAACTCAACATGGAGGCCTACATCTAGTGCCTTAAGGAAGTAGTGCTGCCCTGAGCCAAGAAGAAGGCTTTGTGTCTAGCAACAGGACTCTGCACCATGTCACACAAGCAGGCGAACACAGTCATGGCAGTCAGACAATTTTTGCAACCGCATCACCCCTTACATCTGGCCTCCTAACTCCCCAGACTGCAACTCCATTGAATATTATGTGTGGGGCACAGATAAGCGAATGACCAACTCCTTGTAATACCAAAGATGAACTGAAGGCAAGGATTATGGCAGCATTCTCCAACTTAAACAAGGAGGCCACCCATAAGAGATACAGGGGATTCTGAAGTTGTCTGGAGGCTGTGGTTGAAGCCAATGACAATTTTATTGGATAAATTTAGTCTTTAGTATTTCAAGATATTTTTGTGTAATTATGGTAAATATATGTTAAAATGAGATGTTATTTTCATTTTTGCATAGATCAAACAACAATTTATCCATCCCACCCTGTATATCTCAAGATTTCCGACAAAATCCAAAGGGTTTGTAATATTATCGGTCCTGACCTGGTATCTCAACTTCAGTCACTTTCCCACCACCATCATGGCTACCCACTGTCTTTTTCATAAATATTTTCAGGGCAGTTGTACTAATGAGCTCTCCTCTTTGGTATCTTGACTGTCTAAATTTAAGCTTACTACTATATCTGGTCATTTTACTGTTGAAATAGTGAAATGTAACCATAAGTTCTATTCTAATAATTTCATTTCTTGTACTTCTCACCTGTGAAATTCTCTTCTGATTTCTTGCTTCTTTGCCACCCACAATCTTCAAAAGTTTAAATGCAACATCAATCACAATTTACTGTCTTCCTGAATCCTGTTCTTTTATTTCTCTTTCTCCACACTAAAGTCTTTTCATTCTCTTCCATTCCCAGTAACCTTTTGCATCTTAGTAGCATTATCACCTTACTTGAGGTGAAATGATTAAAAAATGTTATAAAAAAAATTTATGCTCTTTTAAAAGTCTGTTGAAGAAGATGATAAATTCAGCATATTTATGCAAGTGGAAGATTGTGTAAAACTATCTACAATCAAATTAAAAAGATAATTAATAACTCAAGGTTATTTTAGGATTAACATAAGGCATGTTTACTGTGAGCTCAACTGGGATTTCTAGCTTTGGTTGGCATAATAGTCCAGAAGAAGGGTATCTCCAAATTTAAAACTGATTGGATGTGGGGCTAAAGATTGCTAAAGATACCAGAAAAATGGTCAGCTCTTTCTATTGCTCCAGAAAGTACCCGACAACTTTAGCTAGGCTTTATCTTTACAAGAGTCAAAAAAAAAAAAAAAAAAGGCTTATGCTGCTATATCTGGGCTAGAGATACTGAACCCTCACTTTCTAGTCTTCAAGTTCAAAATTGTTTACTTGATCTTGTGGAGGGGGGAAGATTTACATTATATTTCCACATATAAGACAACCTTTAAATCTTAAAAATTACCCCCAAAAATAGGGGATCGTCTAATAAAACATTTACAAAAAGTTAACCTTAAATCCTGTCATGTATCGGCACTGGCAATTAGACTACTATGTTTGAGCCTTGTTTGTTGGTTGGTTGTTTTGTTTTATGGCATATCAACCTCAGTGGGTCATTTAATGCCAACAAAATTTTTTAAATAGATTCATAGCAATAGTTTGGTAAAAAAGGTGTGTATGTATACATATATATTTGAACCATTTTTCAATTACTCATATTTTTGAGTACAATCACATGTATTGCTGGTAATATTTTTTAAAAAAAAATACATTGCTGGTAAGAGTTTTTTTCTTCAAAAATTAATTTCTGGTAATAATTTTTTTACAAAGTAAATGTTCCAATGAGCTCCACTCTTCAATTCCACCAGTTCAAAACTTTACAGCTTGAATACACCATGCTACTTCCAACAAGTTGAATCACCCTCATTTCCTCTGTATTCCGAAGTTAAAAAGAAAAGTTCAACTCAGCTTTGTCCCAAAACATGCCACTTTGTGGAACAGATTTGTACATGGATGCTTCCTTGAACGCTGCAATCTTAATCTGTTAAAATTAAGGGTCAATCATTATCTATCCTCCTTATACTCATAATTTTCACTTGCTACCCTCCTCCTCTTTCATTCATATCACACATCATTACCATTTTAATAGTAAGATTAAAAAGAAAATAAAAAACCTATACAGCAACAACTCCTAAGGCAGTGAGATGGTGATCCAAGACTCTCCAGGGGAATCTACAAGAGTTAGCACCAATAAAAGAATATAATTTTTTTTTTCTTTAAAGCTATTCCATGCAATAGAATAAAATAAACCTCATCATGTTATCACTAGACAGCCTATCACTGGCACAAGCTGAATGTTCATCAGGCAACAGCCATCTGCTTTTAAGCAAATCTCATCCAATTTATGACACATGATTTCACTAAGCCTCAAATCATGACATGAAACTAATAAAACTTACACTGCTATAAAAGGTAATCCATGATCATGTCCAATGAAACCTAATTTTCAAACAGATGCCTAAGTCATTTTGTTTTCAAGATAAAATAGCTTAGGCTATAAATTTCTATCTGGATTTCTTGGGTGAGGAGTTATTGTTATCTACATTAGTTACATGCAGACTATAATCCTCATCTTTCTTGTTATTATCACCTGATCACCAATCTGAATTTTTAGAATTCTATTGTTCATCATTATTCAGCAGGTCAGAGGAATTGCAGTTTATGTCATCACAAATCTGCTTCATATAGATTTTGACTTATCATACTCTTCTAGTTCTTCCTTGTGAAGACTCCCATAAAAAGAACTTCACTAACAATTTTGTCTTTAGCTCTCCAGCAATGCACTATGAATCTGTCTCTACACTCTTTGATGATGTCTGATACTGGACAAAGGTTCAACCATACAATTGCTCATTGGTCATATGATCATTCCAAGTGACTTTCAAAGCCGCTCTTAACGTGCAAGTGTAGGCCCCATCCTGAACAGGCATACAAAAGAATAGAGGTAATAGAGGTTTCTTGAAAGAGGCTCCTTTTTATCAAAGTCCATACCACCACGCTGTACCTCAAGCTTTACCAATGCATGTGTTTAAATCACTTTCGCAGCTAGAGATTTTACTACATACATAAGTAAATTCTTCCCCACAGTTGAGAGGTGTGCCGGATACTATTTTTCTTGTACCCTCTTGATTTAGGCTTATATATTCTGCTTTGTCCACATTAACATGGAGATATTTGGTTGAATGTTTAAGACTATGGGGAAGGATTTCATTTTGACATATAAAATTCACCAACATTTACTTACTTTTGTTTATCAAACATTGAATTATGTCACTTAGCATCCTCCATAATTTAACTAGACATTTCACTTAGCCCAAGGAATATTTGCATTCTTAAATTTAAAAATTTTGAAAAATTAACAATTTTACTTTTGTTTATAAATACTTGTTGCAAAATAAAATCCTTATATTTGTCTTGATAAAGTCCATCAGAGGAAGCAATGTGTCAGCTAAGATAAGTTTTCCTTTTCTCTTTATTTATATTATCTTTTTAATGAGATATATATATATATATATATATACACACATATATATATATATATATATATATATATATATATATATATATATAATGTATGTGTGTGTGTGTCTTGGTACAGCAGATCATTATTCAAACATATATTGTTAAACATAACAGACAACAAATGTCTATTATGTTTGATCATGAACCATTCTATGCTTCATATAGCAGCTTTAGTTTCGGGAGAAAATAAAGACAAAATCTGTCAAACATTTGGATATTTTTTTTATTATTTGGATTTTTTTTTTTTTTTATTCTGTTCTTTGATCTAAACTTTTGGCTTGCATAAAGAAAGCAAACTTCTATGTAAACACAACAGGATGTCATTTTGATGGTGAACATCTCAGTTGTAATGTCCATATAATCACTCTGATGATGGCTCATCTGAGCCGAAAGCTTAGATTGAGGAACAACATAATAAAAAAATATCCAAATGTTGGACAGATTTTTCTTTATTTTCTCCTGAAACTAAAGCCACTAATGTTTATATATGTGAAGGTACTGTGAAAAATTTTCAGTCTGACAGAAAAAGGATTAAAAAATAAATACAAATAATAAAAAAAAAAAACAACATCACATTTGGTCAAATATTTTAGGAAGTTCTCGGTCTGACAAAGTCCTTCAAAAAAATTTTTGTTTGATCACATTGAAAGATTCTGGGAAGTAACTTAAGCTAAAAATTTCTCAGCACCAGCAATAGATTGCATATGCCACTGCAAACATTAATTTATTTCAAAAAGACATTTTAAAGCTATTAGCTATTCAACCTCTCAAGGAGAAAGAGAGAGAGAGAGCGAGAGCGAGAAAAGAGAATTCTTTTCCTACTTTAAATCTTGCAGTCATTTGCAAACTAAGACACTTGAGATTATATTTTTTCTGCACACCATTGTTTAAGCAAAATACCAATATTCATAAATGATGAAACTGTGTCTGAATGATTGACACAAAGGGAACATAATGAATGAGTAATAATAGAATGTATGTTCTGAGTAGAGTAATATAGTAGTTGCATCAATTTTCTGTTTACACACAGAGTTACTAATCTCTAAAGAAAGTCCCTTGCTTAAATATACCAACCATTAGGTCAAGCCACTGTTTATTGCCTGAAGCATGTATTAGCCTTATTCAGAGCAAGAAAAGCACTTTTTACCTATGTGCCAGATAATGTGCAACAATATACCTACTACTGGAAAACGCCAGAGGAGGGGGGAATGATAGAAAGAAAAAATAAATAAAGAGAGAATAAACAAAAAAACAAGGAGAGAAAAAAAAAGTAAAGAGAGAAGAAAAAAGTAAAGAGAGAAAAAAAAAAAAGGAGACAAAAACAATGAAAGAAAATAAACAAAAACAAAGAAAAAAGAAAAAAATGAGAAAAAGAAAAAAATGAGAAAAAGAAAAAAATGAGAAAAAGAAAAAAATGAGAAAAAGAAAAAAATGAGAAAAAGAAAAAAATGAGAAAAAGAAAAAATGAGAAAAAGAAAAAAAATGAGAAAAAAAAAAACAAATAAAAAAAGGAGAGAAAAAGTATGGCATGATGTAAACAAACTTTCCAAAATTTGACAAAACATCACAACTTACTTCAGGCACAAGAAATTTTCAGCACCCTTTCATATAATTCAAATGATACATTTTACCTTACAAAAGAGAAATTCTAATCAGAAACCCGAGTACTTAAGAAATATCTCAACAAATGACCTTAACAGAGCTATAAAATCTCAATTATTCAAAGGCCACTAAAATGTTTAACATCCATCAACAAAAAAATATTTAAAAAGTTTTGCTTTCAACAGGTTCCCTTTTTGAGAATCTAAAAATCTAAGAGATTCATTAAAAGTTCAGCTTATAAATAAAACAATCTATTTTAAGCTAAATTTTAAAATGATTGTTTAGAACCATTTTATAATAACAGCTTGACATAGCAAATTCTATTTCATATAATCAAATGTAAGTATCATGTAAAACTCAAATGTAAGCTAATTACTTACCATAAGAAAAAACGGTTCCTTTCAACTTGATTATATTCTTGACCTGGCCCTATAAAGAGAATAAAATAAATAAAATAAAAATCAGCATGAGCTTAAGAATTCCACATTTATAAAATTTAAGGAGAAAAGAAAATTGTAATTATTCTGCTGAGTATGTAGAATTAATTAAGTAATTTTTACTGATGAAAGAGTTTTGCAACAGCAGCAGCAAAGTAATTAAAAAAATAAATAAATAAAACAAATAACTAAAAAAAGTATTAGTAAATATTATTTAAAAAGTCATAATGCTTAAAAACTACATGAATACAATAATGCAAGCATTTTTAATATTTTCAACAATAAAAAGAATTCTGTGATTGTTGAGTGGTCTATGAAAAACTATTTGTTGATCAAACATATATTTTGTAAGGGGAGTACTGAAATGTTTCCAGTTCAACCGAGTTCCCAAAATCTGACAAAACACTTTCATTTGAAAGGTATTTTTAGTTAGGTGCAAATCTTTTCAGCTCCATCTCATAATATTCAAATATATCACATGCCGTTATTTTATTTATCTCTTTCTCCCTTTCTTATTTCCAAATTAAAAATTTGGGATATCTAGCCTATTTTTATCCTTTTTCCTTTGAAACAAAAATTTATATAATCACAGTTATTTGTAATATGCATTTTCCCAAGATTTTTAAGCCTATAAGTTAAGGAAGTGTATTATACACAAGAATTAAATGCTTTTTCTGGAAAATGAGCTCTGGTAAAAACATGTATTGATAACAGGAAAAATTGCAATATGAGCACTGGTAAAAAATGGTTGCTGAAGACATTTTGTTTATATTTTATAATACCCATAATAATTAGGTTTATACTTTATAAAACCCAGAAATTTATACACAGATGTCCTCAAGGACACATGGCACAGTGGATAAAGGCAGTAGTTATATCCGGTGACAGGACGCAAAGAGTGTGAGTTCAATACCTGGCTAAGGGAAATTAACAGGAAATAACTGATAACTGACATCCATTAAACATGGCATGTGGAACTAGAACAGTCTACACTAGTGAGCGAAATAAAGGGTTCAGTTCGATATTCCAACCACCTGAAGAAGGCCAGAGCGTACGACTGAAACATTGTAATAAATATGGCGACAAAGATGAAGACAATAGTCCAAATAATGCAAATAATATACATAATACCTCATCTCAGAAATATAGATAGATACAAAACAATAAAAAATGGAAATTGGACAACAAACTGACAAACATATCAAAGATTTTGACCTCACTCTTTTTTCTGACATGTCCAGAATATTTTTTTTTAAATAAATGTTTATTTTTTACAGAATTATTACAATTAATATTAAAATACCAAAATGTGTTTTTTTTTAATTTCATACACAGAGACTTTTAAAAATTATATATTTTAGTTAGAGTAAAAATCATTTTATTTTAGCATCAATGTTATGTTAATAGCATATTTTGTTAAAGATTGTAATGAGCCCGACAAATAACTAATGGCCTAGGGTCACCACAGAGATTATATATATATATATACACACATACATACATACCCACAGATATTAAGCACATTTTAGTCTGCTTCACTGCAGTCCATATCAAAGAGGACACATTGTGACAGATTTATCTTTTGTCATAGATGTCTTTGTCATCTTCAATGTCACCATCCACAGAGACTTTCTTTCTCAAAATGGTTGTCATCTTTATTGCTGTCCAGTGCATTTGTGATGCAACATATTTTGAATGACTTTGCCACAATGTAATCAGACTAATGTTTACTTGTGTTTTATACTACTATAGTGGAATACTCACTGCTAATAGAATATGTGTTTGTTGAGAATTTTCTTTCTCCCAATGTGAACTTATTTTTGTTACTTTCTCTGTGAATATATCCAGGTGTTTGCTCTAAATGCTGTGTAATATCTATGTTTCAAAACTATACCAATTCTAATGTCCAGTCAATATGAACCAGACAAGTAGCGTCCTGGGTATGATGATAAACTACATCCGGCAACAAGGCCTCTGATTGGGAGAATGGTGGTTTTGAGGAGCGTGGAACCACCTCTTAATTGCTGTTGTTCCCAGGTCCACTCTGACCTGGGGTGGTAGTATCTGTTAGGGTCCCAGCTATGGACAAATAGTGAACCCCCAAACAAAAATCAACAGTACATTTTTATAATAAAATGACAGACAATACATTTTTTATAAAAAAATGACAATCAATGCAACACAAATTTTTTTTTTTTTATAGTAAAATTCCCAACAATACATTTTATGATCTACAACATATATAAAAAAAAATACCTTTACTCTGAAAGTATAAAATTATGAACAAAATAATTAGATTTCAGCATTAAATAACCCATAGAGATTGATATGCCATTAAACAAAATCAACCAACCAACAATACCTATCCATAGTACACTAGCAGGCTTCACCCACTCACTATTGGTTCACAAAGATATATTCACTACTTGAAATCTTTGAAACAAAAATTTTAAATGAACATTTCATTCATAAATTGTTTTGTTATAGTTAAGGAAAGTTTTACAAATAGATGCCTTGTTGAAGGCCAAGTAAAATGCAAATTTCAAACACTTTTCTGCACTATATGACAATATTCCTAAACAAAACTATTTTTGGTATGAAAATCAAAACAATCTTTGAACAAAAGAACACTAACGAAGGACAGCTAATTAATGAAATATACTTTTTTATAATCAATATGCAAATTAGATAATATATAATACAGATATTGAGCTTTTTAGCATATAAATTACTATAAAGTATAGTTGGGGCTTTTTAACCCCAGAATTTGTTGGATAATTGTTCTCCAATTTCACATTTATTCATATAGATTCCATAATACAGGTTTTACTTAATTAGATATTATGTTTCTCTAACTCTTCAAATGTTGCATGTATAACTAATTCTAATTTCTATTTTCCCATCTGTACACTATATTAATTTTATCTTATAAATTGTCCACTGTTCTGTTATCCTTGAAATAAAAAATTGTTTTTACAGAAAAATAAGGATCTATGTACATCAAATCATATTTAAATTAAGTGGCAGCAGAAGAATTATCATTGAGCTTTTGAAAGGTAAACTTAAACATTAATTTAATACTTAAATGCAGCAATCAATTTGAGTTCTTCTGTAGTTTAGGGTGGCCTTTAAGCTAGTTTATAATAAAACATGCACTGCAATTTTGAATACAAAAGGAAAAGAGTTACTCCCCTTGAACCATGAAAGCAACGATAATGGCTAGTATAATATATTCTTAACCTCGCATAATCTGGTAACCCAGAATCTGAGCTCAATGAAAATTGATTCCTGCACCTAAATTTTCTAGAGCTTTTGAATGAGCTATGAATCATTGAAATCGGCCAGTGGAAGTGGAGGAGTTGCTTGGACACGCACAAACACACATACATTGTACATTATATATAAGATATTTAGTTGAAGCTATAAAATTGTGTTCAAAATATTTAGATATCAACATTAAATAACCCATAGAGGTTGATATACTGCTTAAAAAAAATCAACCAACCAAACACCCAATATGAAAGAACTCTTTCATGACATTAATCTATGTAATATCCTACAATTTCTTAAAGAAATCAAACTGTATTCCAAAATATAACTTCAACTGCAACATAAAACACACATATCATTGCTTCTAGTAATTATATCTTCACACACATGTATATGCACACAAAACTGAGTATCATCTACCATGTATTTAATTGTGAAGCAGAATAACTTATATTTTTATTATTTCAAAGCTCTCAAGAATATTATATTTCAGCATTAAATAACCCATAAGAAGTTGATATGCCATTAAAGAAATAAAACCAGATATTAGTGAAATGTTAAATTAAATTGCTACAAATTCTAAAAAGTTATTGCATATAATACAGAAGAGATCTTGTTCCAGAAATTTATAGCCAAAAGTTCAGAGTATGTATTACATATAAATAAATATTTTTTTTTTTTTTTAATATAGAACTTGGTTTGTAAAATCTATAAATACTTAACACACTGTTATGCAAAAAAAAGGTTAATTGAAAAACAGAAAAACATTTTTCCCACAATGCCAGACTATTATTTAACTTTGTACTGCGTTTACAGATTGAATTAAAAAATAACACAAGCATCTTAAAAATACATTCCTGAATGAAACTATTTTCATGATTTAATTATTATCTGGGAATAATATATATATATATATATATATGCATGCTAGGTGTAACAGTAAAATTCTCCAAATCATGCTACATCATAATTGTCCAGCCCACAAAATGTTTAATATCTAAAAAAAACACTAACCGAATTGAGTTTCTTTTTTCCAGATTTTTAGCAATCTGATAACATTTGTCATTAAATTCACTGAAAAACTCTGAGTTATTAAGCTAGGAAGATTCATTTTGTGTCAGCCACACTGGTTTCTCTGAGAGGAAAAAAATCATTCAAGTCTTCATACTCTGGCTTCCATGTCCAAAGTCCATACAAGAACTATCAACAGAACAATAAGTTTAAAAAAGAGGGAACAGAAGAGAGAAAAACTGGATCAGGAGGTCACAACAGGAAGAGGGATCATCATTTTAACTTAGAGCTAAAGTGATCAATTAGAAAAGATTCAATTCGATCCATAAGACATTTGACATATGACAGAGGTGTTTCAGCTATAAGAGTCTAAAGAGCAGTGAAAAAAGACTTGAAAATGAAATTGTATGTGAAACCTGTGAGGTACCTTGCTACTCCAAGATAGAAAGGTAGAAGGTTAGAGAAGGCGAAGATCATCTTGGAAAATGATCCTGAAATAATATATATATATATATATATATATATATATATATATATATATATATTTTGAACTTTATTTTAATCCTTCATGAGCTTCCAATCCTTAGCTATGATTAATTAATGATGAACATGTCATTTTCATTTATGATTGATTTCATCACGATTCTTCCATTAAGATTGGAGAGTAATTATACATTCTTATTGCTTAAAGTAGAGTTCAATAGTGTTATAAAAACCATGGAGAATTCCAGTAAGATATCTTCAATCATTTCTAAGATACAATGGATCAAAGATTAATCTAACAAATCTTTAGTTTTGCTGTTATACCCAATATATATATATATATATATATATATATATATATATATATATATATATATATATATATATATATATATATATATATATATTCCTTCCTCCTGAACTGGATATTTGTAATTTCAAGTCATGGATTATCATCATGATGCTATTTCTGCCAATGACAGATTGCAAAGTCACATGACTTATTTCTTTCCAAAATTTTCAATCCTGTGCTACTATGTTTATATGAGACCAGTTATTGAACTTTGACCAGTTGAGTACATAGGCAAAGTTGTAGCTATATTGTTTAAATGTAGGATTATATTTTTCAAATATAATTTAAATTTGTATGTGATCAAATCAAATTGTACTGATTGTATTTCTCACTCCAAATCCAACTTGACTTACACAATACAGTCAAGCAGACATTTTGTGAGTTTTGAGACCTCTGAATGATTTGTCGCTCAATTATGGAATTGTATTAATGTTATTTGTACTTAAGAGGGAGATAAGAACAAAACTTTCACATTTCTAATTTTAAAAAAAATTGGTGTTTAAATTGATAAACCTTGTTCTGCAGTGAAGAGCCCAAATTCCATGAAAGAGCTTAAATTTTGTATTTAACCCATTTAAACATCTTTTTTTAGGGGGGAGGGTGATTTCAAATGCCAAAAATGGACTGAGCATCCAGAAAAAGAAGGAATAGGTCTAGATCATGATTTTCTGATAAATACAATGAAAATTATATACAAAAAACTTGTGCCCAGTATATGGTACCAAAAGCAGCTAATGATCAATGTAACATATGAAAGGAACCAAGAGCATTTTAAATATATTCTCCAAAACTATTTTCTTACTGAAAATTTGTTTCAGCTTTTTTTGTTAGCATTATTTTAAGTTGGGATGCTAGCAACACAAATGCAAGAAAAAAAAAAAAATCATGTTAATTTTAACTAAATTTTGTCCCAAAATCCAATTGATATAGGTCATTTTTTAAAAAAATGCCAAGTTAAACCTGTCATTTATAACGTTCATTTCAATAAGATCCACTTGACTTTACTAGCAAGCAGAGGCAGAAAAGGCAACTAATCAGAACTGGGCATCTAAAATTAAATGATTAGACATGTGTGAGTTTTAACTAACTTCAAACAATCATAACTTAACAATAATTTGGAGTTAAGACACAGTTAAAACCAGTTCTAAAATTCTGAGACTGCCTACATTCAGACTAGATACAGCAACAGCCCCCAACCACTGAGCTGCAGACCAATACTGGACTGTGGACTATCTGGTACTAAAAAGAATAAAAACTTTTTATTTTTCCATTTTATTGTCTTGTTTATTGTGTTTTATTATGCATGTGACTAACATCCCCACTCCCAGTTTATGGAAAAATTGTTTTGCGTGACACCTGCTCAGTGGCACAAAACAGTTGAGGACTGCCGAGGTATAGTATATATCACTTGGGAAATATTCTAAACATGCCAATTACAAGACAACTGTGCAAATCTATCAACTTTAGAAATTATCTTTTTGCTGTTGTTATTAATGATTTACAAATCACAAATGCATCCAACATACCAGTTATAACTGATTCCACCATCAAACAAAATTCATTATAAGTATATATTAAAATGTGTCAATTGTTTGATTCATTCATTCATTTATTTTCTATGGCTTATCAACCCTTTGTAGCTTATTTAAAGCCAGAAAATATTTTTGGATTTTAAGAATTATTTTTTTGAGATAATGATTCTAATGATACAAGTCTTACAAATTAACTTATAGCTGGGCTTAGAAGAGGTGACTTCATACCTTTCCCAAGGGTACTTGCTTGTAAGTGAATATAACAAACTCAACTGGAATTAAAACTCTACTCTCCAATTAACAATTCTGAGCCATTATCCATTACACCACCCACACATCCAAGCTTACAGCACCTGGTATTCCCAAGTGATCTTCTATGAAGATACTGACCAGGCTCAGTGTTGCTTATCTTCGGTGATTGTATGGGAACCTGTGTTTCAACACAATGTGGCCATAAGTCATGGCCATCGTTAACTTCTGTCTTCTTAATTTTTGTTCATTTATTGTCCTCACACCTTAATGTTTTCTTTTTCTCATATTCTCTCACACTCAGTAACCTTTTGCATCTTAGTGGCTTTATTGCCTTGCTTGCAGTAAAATGATTAAAAATTTGGTTGATTTTCTTTAGCAGCATATCAACCTCTATGGTTATTTAATGCCGAAATTTAAATATTTTGTATGTAATTTTATGCTTTCAACTACAGATATGTGACAGCAGTGATTAAAGGAACATTCCAGCAGCCTTGAACTAGTGTATTACATATGATCAGAGGAAAAAGAACATGAATAAATAAATTAATAAAAATCATGTAAGTGCTTGGGTAGGCAAGTAAATTGATGACATGATATTGTGAGTTTTCTGCTAAAGGTGTTAAATATATATAGGCACTCAAATCAAGATATTTGGTGTGAACTATTTCATATCAGTGTGCAATTTACTGTATGGCATAGACAGAGAAGGGATGACAATGATGATGTTGACACTCATCAACAAAAGATATGGTGATTTTGGACCTTCATGCCTGCAAAAAATGAAGTGCCAAAAGAACGTTTTTCCCTTGACACCAGTATTATTTTGACTATCTTCACTCCTAAGCAATGCTTATTGCTTTAATAGATTGTTTATTAGAATGGTTGAAAAAATATCAACTAATTGCCAATAGCTTCAAACTTTATAAAATGGTAAATAAGGATTTACTTATAGTTGTTTTACATAATTTAATAAATGTTTATAAATTTATGAAAAAAATTGTTTTCATATTTATTTCTATGTAAATTGGTGAATGATAGCTGTTGCATTGCATTAGTTTTATTACTGTTGAATAAGTTCTTAGAATGTTGTAAATATAAAATTATTCTTGTAAATAAACAATAATAGTGTATATTATTTTTGTTGTAAATTCAAGAAAAAATGTCTATAAATTCACTTTCATAAATGATTAATTTTTATAAAGCAATGAGTGGAATTTTAATAAAATCTAAACATATGAAAGTGAATTCATACATTTTCTTTGTTCTTGAGAATTAACAACAAAAATAATAAACACTTGATTAGACTGTTTATTTACTTTATTGAAATGTTTATTGGGATTGTTGACAAAACATCAACTCATTCCCAATTGATTCAATCTTTAAAAAATAGTAAATAATAAGAATTTCCTAATAAATGGTTCACATATTTTAATAATTTTTTTAAATGTTTATAAATTTATGAATAAAAAATTGTTTTCATATTTCTTTATAAATTGCTAAATGATAAATACTGAATTGTATTAGTTTTTAATTTTTAGAATGTTCTAAATATAAAATTATTGTAAATAAACAATCTAATAAATAGTGTTTAATATTTTTGTTAATTATCAAGAACAAAAAAAAAAAAACCTATAAATTCACTTCCATCATATGTTGATATGTTATTCCAACTATAAAATAATAAAAACATTGCCGAAAAGTGTAGGTAGTTAAAAAAAGAAGTGTCATAGGAAGAACCATCCTTTTTACACTAAGACTTATTGCAAGTACATTTTTCCAAGTTTGCCAAAACTGCAATCTGACAAGGCTATTTAGAAAACCCATCAAATTACACAGCGCTTACTTCGATTAACCCTTTACTTAGAACGATTACTTTACTACTTATGTAAATATAACAGTAGTCTTAGTTGGCAATAATATAAATGACAGATGGATATAAATAAAGGAGCTGTTGATTATTTATGGCTAATTTGTTTAAATAATGCATAAAGTATTGTGTCACATGGCAACAATTTTAAGTAAAATGATGATACTAAAATAAGTATCCAAGTAATCGTTTTAAGTTCTCAGAATATTGGTGCTTTTAGGAAGAGCAATGGAGAAAGAAACCACTGAAATTGAGGCAAGGTAAATCAAATGATATTTCATGTTATTATTTTCAATAAGATTATAAACATTAAGGAATATGGTGACACCACAATAACTGAAAGACTGCATCATAAAAAAAGCAAAAACAAAAAGTATATTCACAAGCCAGATGAAGACATTACAAGACATTCTAGTAGTCTATAAAAATAGATCACAAGACATACAGAAACTGAAGAAAGAAAACTTTGAAATAAATAGTCCTTATTCACCATTGTAGCAGATTTTTAAGTATTTTGAGAAATAGTCAGAAGTGAATTAAAAGTTTTGCCTCATGCCCAAAGGAAACATTCCAACTTCAAACTTTTCATTGAAACTAACTCCCAAAATAAACCGACTGTATTTTACTATACTTAACCCCTTAGGAGATTTATTTTGCCAAAAATTGATTCAATTTGGAACCAATTTCTTTTATTTTCAAGCAGGCAATATGCCCATGCAGAAAATATATATTTTTTGCCTTTTCATGAATTTAACAATGAGAAAATCACAAACAAAACATGTGGAAGATTCTCCAAAGATAACTCATCCATGATTTTTTGATGAAGTTTTAATGTAAAACAGACTTATAATTTCATGCATGATACACTTTTGCAATTCATATCAGTTTAAGTGTAAAATTTCTTGGCTTCTTCATAAATAAGATCAAAGAATTTACTAAGTGATAAAAAAAAAGAAAAAGAAAGCTAAAGAGGGTGATCATTAATGTCAGGTTTTAGCAAGTATCTGGAACTATGGGTTATATAGAAGGACAGACTGTTCTCTTTAGCCAGAGTAGGGCAACTAGTAGGACAACAACTGTGAATTCAAAACCATATATTTCACCTGGTGAAGCACATACTATGCAGCTAACAAAAGGATTGTGAAGTTCAGTGACTATCATCCTGACTGTGGTCGTCCTAGTCTAGTTTAAGTGTTTGTTTCTTCATAAAAAAATTATAGGAATAAAAACCTAAGATTGTCTGTCATGAAGGAAAGAGTGGAGAGGCAGGTACATAATTAGTGGGTTCACAATTCATTTTGCACCATTGCTTGGTATTGAGAATGGATATCACAAAAATATTGGCAGCTGAATGAAGAGAGAGTGTCTTTTCAGTACTATCAGATATTTTGTCTAATATATTGCAGTTCTGAGAAGAGGGAGAGCAATAAAGGAAAAAATGATAACTTACAGAGTGCAATAAGGAAAGTCAAAAGCACATGAAAGTGTTGACATAGGACTCAATTGACAATTCTCTTACTATTGGAAGATTATCCCGAATGTAAACACCAAGGCTATGCATATAAATGTTAGAATCTTTTTGGCAATGAGGAACAGAGAATTCATTGGTAGCAATAGAAGAATTTAATTTAGTTCCATATAGTGCAAAGATATCTAGCGACCATTTCAAGAAAAAAGATTCTATACTACAGAAGTTTAGAACGAGTATCACAAATATTGCAGAAAGAAAGGTTGAGTGGATAGGTGATATTTTGTTTACTGGTTTTCTCATATTTCTTTTCATTGTTTTGTTTGAATTTAGAGTTGTACTTTTCCTAGACTGGTTGCCACCCAAGGCTATAGGATCCAGTCTATCCTGCTATTTACCCATAGTTGGAAGAAGAGATGGATTCATACCTTTTCCAAGGGTATTAGCATGTAAGTAAATGTAAAAAACTCAACTGGAATTTGAACTCAGCTATCCAATTCCTCAGTGAGAGCCTCTAATCATTACTCCACCATGCCTCCATAAAACTAAATTACCATGCCACTGCTGGGTGTATAAAATTAGAAAAACAAAAGAAAGCAAAATAGATTTCATGGACAAATATTTTTCATTTTCACTAACTATACACTGTATGGAACTGAGAATTTACATCCAGCATCTTATTTTTTGCCCAAAATGTGCACATAAATAGTTATCAGCAAAGAAAGAATTACTGTACTGGATTCAAATTCTGACTGAGTATTTCATTCACTTCATACTAATGTCCTTGGAAAAGGAAGGAATTCATCTTCCTTCCAGCTTGGGGTTAAAAACAAGATCAAGAATGGAAAATTATTGAATTAAAAACCTTGTAAATAACAGCAGATTGGGCCTTGGTATGACAATAAGGCTAGAAAAAAGACAACTCCTAATTCAAAATTATCCTGAAATGTGAGGAGTGCTATCAAGCTATTTTGTCCAAGGAACATTTACTGCTACAGTTGCAGTATATGTGGTGACCCTACATGGGATTCCTAATCAAGATCTTATTTTAATACTACAAAAAAAACAAAGTGAGTGAAAATATATGACATAATCTAAGTACACTATTTACAAGAATCATTATGATGTATGCAAGAAACATTGATTGGTAAGCAAGGTTCCCGAGTGGCACTGAGCAGTAAGGGAGACTCCTGAGTTGTTCTTTGAAACTTATTAAAAACTTAAATGTATAACACACTCAGACCAGCTAGAAGTTTATATTTCCTCTACTCTCAGGTTATATACCATTTTACCAGAATAAATATATATTATGGAAATACTTTAATTTGCTAAACTAATGCAAAGAGACAAACTGGCCCAAAGAGGAAATAAATGCCAGAAAGATGAATGAATTTTATAGAAGTCAAAGAAAACGAAATAAGAAAGAAATACAATATAAAAGACATTACTAAAGAAAGAGAATGACAGCAAGACTGCTGCAGTAGAAAAGAAAAGCCTTGTGGAATGCAGTCAAACACACAGCAGCCCCATCAGTAGACTGATTAGGGTTAAGGCTCAAAGTTCTAAATGCAGAATAATCATCACTGATTAATCATCATTAGCAAATTAAAGTATAGGTTCATAAATTTGGTAACTCCTAAGCTGGCCAGTACAAATTTGGCATCAGGGAGAGAAATAACTGAGCAGTGTCCTCTTCCTGCCTCCCATCAGTATGGCTGATACTAGCCTCCATCAGAATAACTCGTTGCACCTTCTCAGGCTTACATTCTCAGCTGACATGAAGTGGAAAGATTATATTGAATCCATTTGCTAGGTCTGCTGCTAAAAATGTTGGTTCACTATGTCATGCTAGACAAGTCTTCTCTCT